CCTGAGTTCTGATCCACATTTACACTCGTTCCCTTTCAGATTTGTGTGAGGTAAGGGCTTTCTTACCCAAACATGAAAAAACCACCACACTAGAAGTCTTTCCTCCCTGGCATATGACATACAAATATAGCAAGGATCTTATTACAACAATTAGCCATGAAATTGAATATTGTGAGATATAAATAAAGCTGTGGCAGTATTATAATTTGCCAATGCGTTGTCTCTGTAGCTGAAAGCTGATAACGAAAAGAAACCCTAGTCTCCCCTACACTTTAACCCTTCCAGCACTGGGTTAGACAAGTTCAACGCTTCACACTCCATATGGGAGGCTTATGGTTGGCCAAGCTACTTCCTGGAGCTAGGAGAGTTGAAGGCTGAATATGTACAATGTTAGGATTTACACAAAAAGATTGGTTGTCTACACATTTTGATGCATTATAACATTTAAAAAATAAAATAAATTTTTTTTTTTAAATGGATCAATTGTCCTCCCTCCAGAGTCAGCTGCTGTCCCCCTTCCCCCCCCAATGGGGGCTGCTGTGTTCCCTGAGTTTTCTACAGACAGCAGTCGGTCTGTCTAACTGTTTGGATCAGTGGCAGCAGCCTGGTAGACACTGCTTAGACCCTCGCTGACAGACAAGACAGAGTCTGAAGGAGATACCAAAAGCCCTGTATCTATTACAGTAAAGAGCTACGTCCATCACAACACTCTGCAAAGCAGCAAGCATTGATAAATGAGAACACATAATGGTTCATGATAGTTCCTCTTACGAGTGGTATTGCTTTAATAGCAGAATAGAAACTGATTGCAGCATTGAAAACCACGTCTTCGTTAGACATTGTAAAATTGGTATGAGGTGACTAACGCCATTTACATTTTCTTCCTGAACTCACTGAATCAATCAGGTAATTAAACCCAACATATCATGTGGCTGATTCTGGGATGTAAACACTATTTCTTTGCACAGCTCAAATACATTGAAATACATTTATATTTTGGAGATATTTTATTCTGCTGCGAATGTCCAACGCATGCACATGGCATTTTCAGTATCAATGTCTAATAAATGAGGGAGTTATATTTTATTTGTTTGTGCCCTTTCCAATATTTCTTCTGTATAGTCCCTCGCAGTATGTAACAAGGGGAACAGATCTGGATATTTAGCTACCCAAACTCTCGTCGTTCTCAAACAATCTTCGCTGTTCCTTACTGGTAAGATGTTACATTGTAGCCAGCTCCAATCCTCCTTCTGATAGAGACATGTTGGCACTCCGCAGTATGGCTGAGGATTCTATGCACCTTCATTTGAGTAGTTTGAATTTTTTCAGATAGGGGTGCACTTGCTCCTTGGGGTATGGTCTGAGGGCAATGCAGGTGGTGATATTTTCTGGTTGTTCGATCCATGCTTTGTGATCAATGTTTTCTTTCTTTAAGGTCTCTGCCAAGCTTGTTAGCGTCGCCTCATCAGGAACCTAGGAATGGACACAGATATTAACACAAGTAAAGTTACTGTTACACTGAGCTTTGCAGTTAGTCGCTGTGACACAGACTTTTATAGGGTTATTTACTATAGTGAGAAATCAAAGTGAAAATAGCTGTCACCTCCAAATTACCTTTCTCCTACGGTTTCCTATTCTCTTCCTCTTTCAGTATCTGTTCTTCTCTGATCGATTTCTTTTTAAAACATAGAACAGTCACTGACTATCTTATTTTAAATACCTGGGAGTGATCTTTCCAAAAACCATGTCCACCTTATATCGTACTAAGAAGACCCCACTTTTGGCTGAGGTGAGGGATGTCCTCTCCCGCTGGGCACTTCTCCCTCTTTTTTTTTCTGGTAGAGTGACCCTAAAAATCAGTCGAAATACCCAAGCATCTATATCCCTTGCAGGCCCTGCTCATACTTATTTCACACTCAGATGAGAAAACTCTAAATACTTTATTTTCTAAATTCATCTGTCAACATAAACTATCATAAACCAGGTTTAATCTAGGTCTCAATATTCCAAATCTAAAGCTCTACATGCACATTTCTGACATGCCCTAGATTGTCCCCAGATCAGGACTATTCGTTGTGGTGTCTATAGAAAAACAGTTGCACATGGGAAGTAGCACTTTCTCAATTGCTACACACTCCCTCCCAAAGGAAGCATGTGGAAATCCTCTACTAGCATCCACTATTAAGATATGGAAGGTGGAGAGACAACTTCTAGGGCTTCACTGTCAATACACCAGATTATCAACTTTTTATGTAGCCCACATTTTCAGGATGGGGGATGCTCACTAACCCTACCGCTCCTGGGAAGCAGCAGGCTATACTAGAACAGACTATTTTCTGGATCACCATAAGTAGTCAATCCTCTCATTTCAGCAAAAATACATTTACTGACCTCAATGTTCTTTGCATACCCTCAGACAAGCAGCCTGATTGCCACAATTATTTCCACACAACTCGCCCCTGCTTCTTACTGCATTAGCCCCTTCCATTCTATAATTTGACCTCACTTGGACTACTCCACCATGCAGTTGGGCTTATCTTGATGGACTGACCAATCTTCTTACATTGACTCACAACATGCTCCTAGCAACAACTGTCAAACTACTTAAAATACTTCCATCAGCGTCCTATCAAAAAATGCATTGGAAAATAGCACACCATGATTACTACTTGCCTGAAAAACTATTTTCTCTCAAAATGAGAGAAATCGGCTAAATGTTTGAAATGTGGGAGACTGGGCAGACATTTATCAGTGCTTCTGTGAGTGTGGGGAATTATATAACTCAATCACTGGGTAGACCATTTGGTGTTTCTCCACTAATAGTTATATTGGGGGTGCCAGCGGAAGAGCTGGGTCAGATTCCTAAATTAGCCGATATATGCTTAGCTGCAGCATGTAAATGATTATTACACCATTGAATTAGTCCATCGCCTCTCCCGTTATCACTGCTTCAAAAAATGGATTGAAACCTCATTGAACAGAGGCTCTTCTCTTACTTGGAAACCCTATGTTGACTTTAATAGTTCTACCCAGTCCAAAATCAAATCTACATTTGAATTTACAGACTGGTATGTTACTAGAGTAAAAGTAAGTAGCTCCAGTACAAAATCAATCTATTCAGCAAATTTGGTTCCCCTCCCACACAACTTTAATTAAATCAAATATTTTGTCTACTTTGCTTCTCAGCTATAACATTTATAATACATTTCTGCTGTTCTAGTATTTCTTAGTTGTGCTAGCAATGCAAACTCCATTCTAGGAACATGGTCCTGTGTCACCTATGCTATACTGAATCTAAATATGTTGCAAAGGTCAGATAACAATAATAAAAATAACTACGTACTAGCCTTGTTCTAGCTGGTTTTAGTTCATTTTCAGACCTTCCTCTGTGTGGTCTATGAGAACCAATTAGGTTAATACATTTTAATCAGTAATTCTGCATATTTAGTAGGTATATAAGCCTTAGCACAATGCTAAGCTCTTACTCTTCTATACTGATTTTGGCTTTACTTGCTTTAGATATTGCTGTATTAATGAACAGATCAGCCCATAAAGGGCTAACCTTTGTTTGCGATACTTGGCCGGGCCTCATTTTGATCTCCACTTGGAATGAACGTATCGTGATTGGATTCACATAACACCATCACTGGCTCTCTCACCCTGGTCGACACCATTGGCTCGCTCCCTGGTTGTCTCCATTGCCCAGTTTGCAATCATTGGCTCTCCCTCCCTGGTCTCTCTCGCTCAGCTCGACATCATTGGCTCTTTCATCCCGGTCACTAGCAATGACTCTCTCAACATAGTCGCCCTCATAGGACCTCCCATCCTGGTCACCATGAATTGCTCTCTCTCCCCCCGGTCTCCCTCCGGGCCCTCTCGTCATCATTGGCTCTTTCATCCTGGTCACCATCAATGACTCTCTCAACATAGTCGCCCTCACAGGCTCTCTCTCCCTGGTCTCTACCAATACTCCTATTGGTCCTCTCTCCCCAGTCGCCCTCACTGGCACTCTCCCCCTGGACCCCACCATTGGCCCCTCTCTCCCAGTCACCCTCACTATCACCAGTCCCCACCATTTTCCTCTTGCCCAGCTCGCCATCATTGGCCCTCTCACCCCGATCGCCCTCACTAGCACTCTCCCCCCATCTCCACCATTGGCCTTCTTTCCCCTGTCGTCACAATTGCCCCCTCTCTCTTCCAGTCCCCCCTACTTGCTCTCTCTCCCCAGTCCCCCTCATTGGCTCTCTCTCTCCCCAGTTACCATCACTGTCTCTCTCTCTCCCCAGTTACCATCACTGTCACTCTCTCTCTCCCCCCATCATTACTCCACCTTGCCGCCATTGGCCCGTTCGCTTCGCTTGCCCTCACTGGCCCACTCTTGCCATCAATGGCTCTCTCTCACCATTGCCATTGGCCCTCTTACCGTGGTCGCCCTTACTGTCCCTCACTGACTCTCCCTGACTGCCATTGCCCCCCTGGCTGCCA